GGAGGAGGAAGAGGAGGAAGAAGAGGAGAAGGAGTATAGGGCTGGGGGCGTGGCCTGGCTGGCATGCTTGCCTAACAGGCATGAAGCCCAGGGTTCAGATTGAACTGTAACACCCACATAAGCCAGGCATTGTGGTGCATACTTGTAATGACAGCTTCCAGGAGACAGAAGTAGGAAGATCAAGACCAATATCCTCTACAGGTATAGAATAAGTTTGAGGCCATCCTGGGCTCAGCATATCCTGCCCACTCTGTCCTATTTTGCTCACCCCGGCACCGGATAGTCACCTGGCTTTTGTGGATGGACATCGCCCAGGCCAGCTGTAGGGGAAGCTGCTGCCGGCTGAGGTACTGGCCCCCAGTGACCTGTACTGTCCAGCGGTCAGTACGGATGACCTCAGTGATGCCACACAGGAATCGTACCCGGGGAAGCCCTGAGGAAGGCATGGAGAAGTCCTATCTTTTAGCAAGCCTAAGTACCATTTGTCCTGCTGTGAAATAAACCCAAGTAGCATGACCCCTCCCTCCACCATCACTCACCTCTCCCTTCTGACTCAAATCCAACTACGACACCTCTGGCACCATTCACCAGGCCCCGAGACACTGCCAAGTTCTTTACCAGCATGACCTGCGGAGGAGGAAGTGCAGGGATGGAGAGGGACCCTCCCTGGGCCTGACTCCTCTAGCAGTTAGGGTTTAGAGAGAGGTTGGGAGATTCTTAGTACAAACATCACTGTGGTGACTATGACCTCTATGACAAGCTACCTTAATTTCCCTGGAACAATCTTGGCCTTATTTTGTGTCAAAGGGGCTTAGTAGTCATCAAACTGCCCAGAAAGAAAGTGATAAAGCCAGGAGGGTAACCTGCATCACAGGACTTTGAAAAGAGTTAGACCTAGCTGGGTTTGGTGGGGCACATTTTCTATTCCAGCACTCAGGAAGCAGAGGCAGGTGGATCTCCAGAGTTCAAGGCCACCCTAGTCAACAAGTTCCAGGGCAGCTGGGTCTACATAGTTATCCTGTTTTTAAAAAGGGGAGTGGGGAATTAAGAGATTATGCCTGCCTAGAAGATCACAAAATTTGAGGAATGACACTAGCACCTGCCATGTGTCTTTCAACCACAATGCTTGCATCCCCCACAGTGCCCTGTGGACTCTGAGGAGAGTCTACCATTCTTGGCCATCCCCACAGAGGAGGAGTCAGAAGCTGCCCATCTATAAGGTATACTACTATAGGGGTAGTATACCTCATATCATGGGGGATGTTACCATGGGGAGACATTTCACCTAGGAACTGAGCTTCAGTAAGGAAGAGACTTGTCCAAAGTGGCTTTGCTTGATGGGGCTCTTGATGTTAAAAGAAGGAAAGATGAAGACAGGAAAGGGGGCGGGGAGTGGTCACAGTAGGTCTCAGCTATCAATGACCCTTGGCAGAGTGTTAATAATCGGGGATCCCCCGACCCCCGTTTCCCACTCACCTGAGCCCCCAGCTTTAACTGAAGGACATGGCTAACAGGACACTGAGCATCCAAGGTCCGGCTTAGCTCAGGATCACTGTCTATAGCCTCAAAGCTGTGCACATCACCTGGAAGAGCAAGAATTGGGAAAACAAGTTGTATATTGACTTGTGACTCAGCTTCCACAAATGTATTAGATCAAGATGGCTGTGGGGATGGACTGGGGACAACTCAGGCCTAGCTGGAGCCTTGGAACCAGCTCACCACACCTTTTGGATTATAGTTTCGTCTGTAAACGTACATAGAACTTGGCCCCAGTTTGCCAGAGATGTAGAGGGGAGTGTCACACCTGTTTGATGGCCCCCCTGGCTGGTTTTGTCAAGCCCGAGCATTCTGTTTACCTGGCAGCTCCTTCAACCACTTCTCGTTGGTGAGGGCCACATCATCCTGATGGGTGCATAGTCTCGTGGCTACAATTCCATCTCGTCCCACCTTATGGGCAGCTGTGGCCCTGAGCTGGCAGGTCACTTCATCTGAACATCTGTGGGGGCTGCAGTGTCAGATCAGAGATCCCCTGGACACCAGAAAAGGTGGGGACAGTATGGCCTGCTGTGCAGGCCAAGGCTTGGGACCCAAAAGGGGCACCAGGACAAGATCTTCCGGTACCCAACCCCCAGCCAGTCGATGCTGAATCTTCCTCAGTTACTTTTACCCTTTATTTGTTTTGTTTTGTTTTTCTGAGACAGGTTCTCACTATGTAGCCCAGGTTGGCTTTGAACTCACAGAGATCCACTTGCCTCTGCCTCCAGTGTGCTGATTTAAAGGCATGTGCCACTATACTTTCTACCTTTTTTATTTCTTTGTTTGACTATTTATTTATTTATTTATTTATTTATTTTGGTTTTTCGAGACAGGGTTTCTCTGTGTAGCCCTGACTGTCCTGGAACTCACTCTGTAGACCAGGCTGCCCTCGAACTCAGAAATCCACCTGTCTCTGCCTCCCAAGTGCTGGGATTAAAGTCATGCGCTACCACTGCCTGGCTTCTTTGATTTTTGAGACAGGGTTTCTTCCTGAACCTAGAGCTTACTCACCAGGCCAGCAAACTCAAGAATTTTCCTATTGTGATCTCCCTAGCACAGGGATTTACAGGAATCTGCTGTCAACCTCAGCTTTTTACACAGGCACTGGGGACTCAAAACTCAGGTCCTCACACTTGTGGGACAAGGACTCTCCTCACTGAACCATCTCCCCTGCCAGCTAGCCTGTGTTTCTGTGCGAGGTATGGTACAAGGAGTAGATTTGTTGGGTTTGTTTGTTTGTTTGTTTGTTTGTTTTTTGAGATAGAGTTTTCCTAAACAGCCCAAGGTGGCCTCAAACTCACTATCCTACACCTCAGCCTCTTGAGTCCTATAGTTGCCAATGTGTGCCACAATGCCCAAGGCCATAACACTGATTGATTGATTGATTGATCAATTGGTGTTATATAACATTCTTGACTACATTCTATCCTAAGTTGTCCCAAACCTTGCTTTCCTGTACAGACTGCTCAATCTTGAAGACAAGCATCTCTCCCTCTTCCCTAGACTAGGTATGATTACCGAAAGCTTGTAAATCCTAGGACTAAAGACTAGGGGTAGGAGGATCAGGAGTTCGAGGTCATCCAAATTCTCGACAAACCTCCACTACATGAGGCCTGCCACCCCCAAACATAATAATATAGACCCATCTTCATCCCATGGCCGCTTTTCCAGTACCCACCTGCCTAACCTCACAGCCTGCAGTAGAGAGATGAAGGTCTGGTCTGCTTGCCGCCACACTTCAGTCAGCTCCAGAATCACTGGCACACACCTCCTCCAGCTCTTGGCCTGGTGGGGAAAGGACAGGGGTGAATTAAGGATCAGAGAATACTCCCCCACAAGCATAGGATCAGAATCATGGTGTAAGTCTCCCACGAGCACAGGTTAGGGTTAGGGGGTGACCAGTACCTGAAAGCAGAATTGAGGTTGCTGGGAGCCCTTGGTCACTGGTGGCAACTGTAGGAAGTCCCCACAGATGATGAGCTGGATCCCTCCAAATGGCTTCTTCTGTTGCCGGACAGCTCTGGATAAGAACAGGGAGTGCTTTAGAGATAGATGTTGGGTGGGCAAACCCCTTGGGCAAATAACCAGACTCAGACCTCAGAAACTGCCCTCGCTGTACATACTGACCTGGCCACAGCTTCCAACTTGTCAAAGAAGTCTGCCTCTACCATGGAGATCTCATCAATGATCAAACGTTGGCAGTTCAGCCAGCCCTGACGCACACCTGGCCGATGGGCAAGGGCCACACACTGGGCCAGGGGAGCCTGGCCTGAGCCGATGCCTATGAGTGACACGATTCAGTCTGTGCTGAAATCCCAGCTCCCCTCATCTCTCCCTCCTTTGCCACAGGTCTGGCTTGCTCTTAACCCAAGCCCAAGGGCTCATACTTACCTGCAAAGGCATGAAGGGTGGTGCCCCCAATGTGGCAGGCTGCCACCCCAGTGCTGGCAGTGGCCACAGTGCCAGTAGGGGGCAGGGAACCGAGGATATGTTTCAGCAGGTAGGACTTTCCTGTCCCTGGGTAGTAGGCAAAGTCAGAGTTGCCTTCTCACCCATGGCACCCTAGGGATGGCCACCACCCCATTCTTTCTCTATTACCTGCACTCCCAGTGAAGAAAATGCTCTGGCCTTTCAGAACCATCCTCAGCACAGCGGCCTGCTCTTCAGAAAGCTTTGGTTTGGTGGAGTGCATGTGGAGCTTCTTCACAGGCAGGGGCCACCTTGGAGCTTCCTGGGAGGAACAAGGCTGTCTCAGAACCTCCTGCCATGCTGCTTGGTCTGTATGCATTGCAAAACAGCCCTTTGCTTTGCTCTTGACTTCACTTGGAACTTTTGAGCCGGTCTGCGTCATCTGAACATCCCAACAGATACTAGCCACCATTTCTGGCTTTTCACCAGTTCACCAGGCGTCTTAGATTGGTGACCACACCTGATCAAATCTCTGTCAGACCCACCTGATGGTTTTCTCCTCAGGTGACTGGGTTATTGCCTGTCTCTAACCCACTTCCTTTCCATTCTTTCCAAAAGCTCCTCTCTTCTGGAATTTTAATACTCGTTCTTCCTTAAGTTTTCTTGCCTAGTCTCCTCCGCCGCTATCTCTTTGGATGTGGCCTAGATCCTAGTTTCCTGTCCTCGGTTTATCTAATCTAGATGATTTACACTTTACCGTCACCATACTCAAATGATGTACGATGGGCATTTCAAATCACCAGCTATCTCCTTAATACCTTGGGCCTCCTGGGTCTCCTCACTCCCTTTCTGGTCCTCACCGTACTAGGCTGGGATTCCACTGGCCGCTTTTCCAGCGCAGAATCTGGAGCCTTGATGGCCGCAGCACGCCGCAGTTCCTCTGGCTGCACTGGACTGATGGTGACAAAGTCTCGGGGCCGCGGGCCGAGCAATTGCGCGCAGGCAGAGGCAGGTCTCGGCCCAGGGGCGACAGCCAGCTTCAGGCGCAGCGTGCGCAGGAAGCGGCGCAAGCGCTCCGGGGGACAGTCGGAGAGCAGTAGTTGCACTGAGCCAGCCCCAGGAACACCTTTGGCGGGGATCCTCAACGTGCTGCGCCCATCCGCAGCGAAGCGGGTGAAGAGACGCACGGCGCGCAGCGGGAAACAGCGTGGCCGACCCGCGGGTCCCGGTGCCTGCAGCCGCAGCATCAACTCGCGGCGTTCGTTACGACCTAGGCTCAGCTCTGCGGCGCGCAGGGCCTGGCGCTTGCGAGGCTGCCCTCCGGGACTCAGCTCTTCCACCGCTACCCGGCATCGCAGATCCGTGTTGTTACATTCATCGGTCGCCGCCTCGGTGCCAGAAGGCATCTCCAATGCCTCTGCAGGCGTGCAGAGACCGGAGCACACAAGTCACAGAAAATCGGGATGGAATAGGTGGTATGGCTGCCGTGACGGAAACTCCTGTCCAGACCTCTTAGGGTCAACAGGTTGCCACTGGTAATAGAAGATGCCACCAAGATATTCCAAGCACTCTGGAGCAAGGAGAAACGTCCTCTGCTGCAGTTCCCGGAGCGGTGGAAGGTGGCATCCAATGCACTTAGGACTGGCGAGCAATTGTTCTGCAATGGCTACATCAGAAAAGAAGCCAGTTGAGGAGACCCACCAGGCCAACAAGGGAGTCAGGGACTTCTACCCAGGAGGCAGAACAATAATCACATGTTGGGCGATGGGAAGGAGACTGACTGGAGGCGAAAACATCCCCTTCATAAACCAATTAGTACGTATCAGGGTCAATGTGACTCCAGTGCTTTGGAAAGGGTGAATTCTTAGGGAAGGTACGGAACCTCCAGGCCCAGGAATCCATTGTCCCTCCGTCTGACCCACGAATCTGTACCTCTCCCAGCGATGAGGACTAAAATAATCACGTCCTTTGTCTCCCACCTCAAGGATCCCGCAGACTCACTTGTTGCTTTTGGATGAAAAAGTCGATCTGAACCGACCAGCAGCCAAGCTTCAGCACTAAGAACATTCAAATACTAGGAATAGAAAAATCACCCTATCATCGGCCTGGTCTTTAAATTCTCTAGCCAATCAGGGACGGGGTGGGGGCGTGTCCATGGGCGGGCGTTTCTTCGGCTTTCCAGCTCTCTGAGGACTGGGTTGTACAGTTAACCGGAACCAGGCTTTTTGTGTTGGGTTTGTGAGCATTTTGGAGTTCCACGAGTGGGCGTGGTGGGGTAGGGAAGGGGCTGCGGCTCCGAGGCGCGTGGCGTAGGTCACCCAAAGCGTCTCTGAAGATTTGAGAACCCTTCTATTTACACTGTTTGGTTTTTCTCGCCCCCACCACCACCACCACATGACTGTGCTTGGCCTTGGAGAGAGTCTACCTAGTCCTTTGCACACCCTGTTCCCACCCACAGAACCACTGTTCAGGTCATTCCCTGGGCCAGCCAAATCTCCTTCCCTGTTCCCTAATTCTTTTCCCTTCTTTGGCCCCCTAAGAATTATTCTATACACTTGTCTCTTTTACCCCGCAGAGACCCTTGTCAGCTGTCCAATGGTTATAAAGGAAGCCAGTGAGTCCTTGTTCTCAGGGGAGTCTTACTCTGCTTGTTGCTTTGACTGCTCAGAGAATTTATTCTTTTTTTCTGTTGGGGCCCTGTTACGTTAAGTAGGCTTGTTTTAAATTCCTGTCCTTAAGGGAGCCTCCTTCAGCTCCCTATATAGCTGTGACTACAGGCACCTGACAAGATCCAGCTTTGAAAACTTATTTTTAATTATTATTTTCCTTTCACTGAAGTTTGAAATTACATAGCTGAAAGGAATCTTCTGCTGGGTGGGTTCAGTCACCTCATTTTACAGATAATGATAGCCACTACAAACTAAATTCTCTCTTCCTTCCTCTTTCTTTCTTTCTCCCTCCTTCCCCTCCTCCCTCCAAGATATCATGTATCCAAGGCTGGCCTCAAATATCTCTAAGTTGCTACTTACAGGGACATAACATTAAGCTTTTGATTTTTCTGCTTTCACCTAAATGTTACAATTCCATGCATCTAGCACTGTGGCCAGTCAGTTATGAAGATCAGAGTGTACAACCCTCAAATTTGATATTCAAAATAAAAATGATTAAGAATTATTTTACTTTATGTGTATGAGTGTTTTGCCTGTGTGTGCATCACTTGTGTGCCTGTTGAACACCTTGAAACTGATGCTTGTGAACCATCATGTGGGTTCTGGGACTTGAAGGTTCTCTACAAAATCCACATGTGCTCTTTAGTGCTGAGCCATCTCTCTAACCCTGAAAACGTTTTCATTGGAACTGGAGAAATGGCTCAGAGGTTAAGAGCAATTGTTCTCAGCTATTACAGTGATTCACAACCTTTTGTTCCAGGAGATCCAACACCTTCTGGTACACATTCAAACATGTAGGCAAAACTCTCATGAACATATAGATGTGTGTGCATATGCATATATGTTTAAATAAATATTAAAAATTTAAAAACTATTCACCATCTCACATCAAAACTCTGTATCTACCGAGATAAAAATTTGCAATTCTTTATTCTCAGACCTTGGTACCCTAACATTTTATTATGAAAATATTCAAGCAAATACAATGCAGAAAGGTTAAAAAATTTTTTACTGTAGGGCTGAAGTGATCATTCAGCAGTTAAAGGCACTTACCACCAAGCTTGACAACCTAAATTTGATCCTACAGACTCATTTGGTGGATGGATAGAACCAACTCTCCTAAGTTGTTCTCTGACCTCCACATTTGCACCTTGTCTGTCTGTCTGTCTCTTTCTCTAACACATACACACACACACACACACACACACACACACACACACACACACACACGTTTTGTTTTTTCAAGACAGGATTTCTCTGTGTAGCCCTGGCTGTCTTGGAACTACTCTGTAGGCTAGTCTCACCTGGAACTTAGAGATTTGCCTGCCTTTAGCTTCTATTGGGTTTTTGAGACAGGATCTTGCTAGACAGTTTGGGCTGGCCTAGGACATGCTACGACACAGCTCCAGGTGGTCTTATACTAGCCATTCTCTTGTTTATGCCTCCTTAGAGCTAGGGATATATGATGCCAGCATGCCTGGTTATGGTGTGTGTGTGTGAGTGAAATTTTGGAGGTTTTTTTGTTTGTTTGTTTTGGTTTGGTTTCTCTGTGTAGCTCTGGCTGTCCTGGAACTCACTCTGTAGACCAGGCTGGCCTCGAACTCAGAAATCCACCTGCCTCTGCCTCCCAAGTGCTGGGATTAAAGGTGTGCGCCACCACTGCCCAGCTTTTTTTTTTTTTTTTTTTTTTTCTGTAATGATTAGACTGATTCATTTTATTTTGTGTGAGTGATTTGTCTACATGTATGAATGTGCACCATGTGTCTGCCAAGGTCAGAAGAGGGCATTGGATCACCTGGAATCAGTTACAGTTGGTTGTGAACCACCTTGTGGGTGCTTAGAATGGAATCCAGGTCCTCTGTAAGAGTCATCTCTCAGCCAGGCAGTGATGGTACCTGCCTTTAATCCCAGCACTCTGGAAGGCAGTGGGAGGTGGATCTCAGAGGCGTGTCTTCCAGGTAGCCAGGGCTACACAGAGAAACTGTCTTAAAACCAAACCAAACTAAAACAAAAATAAGCTGTCTCTCCAGTTTAAGCATCTAAGTTTTCTGACTTATATTTTAATTTCTTTTAAATAAGCACATGGGCAAGGAATTCTAAACTACAGGCAAGGTACTATTTGATATTATTCGAATGTTAGACATTTTTCCCACCTAAGCTTTTGTAAGAGCATCAACAGTGAGTCCTTGAAGGTAAAGAAACCTAGAGCTCAACTTGACCACTCTGGTATTTTAACGGTTCTTGGACTCCACCCTCCCGCCTGCCCTACCTCTGCTGTTCTGTTATTTGGGTCTTGATTGGCAGAATGCAGAGGGGCGGAGCCATAGTGAATCCGCCCCCACATCTGCCATCCAACTTCCTTCTTTGCTGCTTTGGGTTGTGTGCATATGTGATTCTCTGATTCCTGCTGCCGCCATGAAGCCAAATTCGAGGGAAACATAAGGCTGCTTTTGGATTTCTTTTTCTAAACCCGAATCCTGGATTGGCGGCAGACATTTGGAGGGAAGGGTTTCTCATAACATTTTCTCTTGTAGAACTCTTTCCAGGTCTTACCCGTTCGCTCCCTGAAAGGCCCCAGTGCACTCTAAAGAAATAACTGTAACTTTATAGCAAAGGGCGGTATTATGTGATACTAAAAAGAGCCCCGCCCCCACCTTAGGATTCTTTCTCTCTAAGTTTTTGCCTTCCTTCTTCTGCAATCAGAATTTTGCAAAGAAAGTTGTGGTTAGAAGAGATGAATGAAGAAAGATTTTACGATTTTTTGTAGCTTCCAGAGCATAAGTCAGGCGCTGTGGCTCAGGCCCCTCATCTCCAAACTCCCTGATGCTGAAGTAGAAGCCATCCTAGGCCACACTGTGACACTGACACCCCCACCTATTTTATTTTATTTTATTTTATTTTATTTTATTTTATTTTATTTTGGTTTTTCGAGACAGAGTTTCTCTGTATAGCCCGGGCTGTCCTGGAACTCACTCTGTAGACCAGGCTGGCCTCAGAAATCCACCTGCCTCTGCCTCCCAAGTGCTGGGATTAAAGGCGTGCGCCACCACTGCCCGGCGACACCCCCACTTATAAACAGTCTCAAACTGTAGGACCTCACCTCTAACTGCTTCCTTACCCTGCTTGGTGCTCACTCCCCTCCCCATTTTCTCTTTGCTGCCCCCACCATTTGGGCGTCCAGTTGAAAACCTACACCCTATCTTTGATCCGCTCCTCACCTACCACTAAGACTTTGTCTTCCTCCAAAATGTATATAGAGTCTGTTGATGTCCTCCCATTCTTATCCCACACCTCCTGGTTAGCAAGTGTCACCTTGTCTTAGGGTTTTACTGCTGTGAAGAGACACCAGGACCAAGGTAACTCTTTTTTTTTTTTTTTTTTTTTTTTCCGAGACAGGGTTTCTCTGTGTAGCCCTGGCTGTCCTGGAACTCACTCTGTAGACCAGGCTGGCCTCGAACTCAGAAATCCACCTGCCTTTGCCTCCCAAGTGCTGGGATTAAAGGCTTGCTCCACTACCGCCCGGCCCCAAGGCAACTCTTATAAGGACAACTTTTAATTGGGGTTGACTTACAGATTCAGAGGTTCAGTCCATCATCATCAAGGCAGGAACATGGTATCATCCAGGCAGGAATGGTGCAGGAGGAGCTGAGAGCTCTACATCTTCATCTGAAGGCTACTAGCAGAATACTCACTTCTAGACAGCTAGGATGAAGGTCTTTTGTTTATTTGTTTGTTTGTTTGTTTGTTAGTTTTTTGAGACAGGGTTTCTC